CCTACACGCAGAGCACTACTTACACACACAGCACTACCTACACACAGCACTACCTACACACACAGCACTACCTACACACACAGCACTACCTACACACAGCACTACCTACACACAGCACGTACTACCTACACACAGCACGTACTTACCCACATACACAACACGCACGTACCTACACACACAGCACCACCTACACACACAGCACTACCTACACACACAGCACTACCTACACACACAGAACTACCTACACACAGCACTACCTACACACACAGCACTACCTACACACACAACACTACCTACACACACAGTACTACCTACACACACAGCACCACCTACACACACAGCACTACCTACACACACAGCACTACCTACACACAGCACTACCTACACACACAGTACTACCTACACACACAGCACTACCTACACACACAGCACCACCTACACACAACACTACCTACACACACAGTACTACCTACACACACAGCACTACCTACACACAGCACTACCTACACACAGCACTACCTACACACAGCACTACCTACACACACAGTACTACCTACACACACAGCACTACCTACACACACAGCACCACCTACACACAGCACTACCTACACACACAGTACTACCTACACACATAGCACTACCTACACACAGCACTACCTACACACAGCACTACCTACACACAGCACTACCTACACACACAGTACTACCTACACACAGCACTACCTACACACACAACACTACCTACACACACAGCACTACCTACACACACAGCACTACCTACACACACAGCACTACCTACACACACAACACTACCTACACACACAGCACTACCTACACACACAGCACTACCTACACACAGCGCTACCTACACACACAGCACTACCTACACACAGCACTACCTACACACACAGTACTACCTACACACACAGTACTACCTACACACAGCACTACCTACACACACAGCACTACCTACACACACAGTACTACCTACACACACAGCACTACCTACACACAGCACTACCTACACACACAGTACTACATACACACAGCACTACCTACACACACAGCACTACCTACACACACAGTACTACCTACACACAGCACTACCTACACACACAGCACCACCTACACACACAGCACTACCTACACACACAGCACTACCTACACACACAGCACTACCTACACACACAGCACTTCCTACACACAGCACTACCTACACACACAGCACTACCTACACACAGCACTACCTACACACACAGCACTACCTACACACAGCACTACCTACACACACAGCACTACCTACACACACAGCACCACCTACACACACAGCACTACCTACACACAGCGCTACCTACACACACAGCACTACCTACACACACAGCACTACCTACACACACAGTACTACCTACACACACAGTACTACCTACACACAGCACTACCTACACACACAGCACTACCTACACACACAGTACTACCTACACACACAGCACTACCTACACACACAGCACTACCTACAAACACAGCACTATCTACACACACAGCACTACCTACACACATAGCACTTCCTACACACACAGCACTACCTACACACAGCACTACCTACACACACAGCACTACCTACACACACAGCACTACCTACACACACAGCGCTACCTACACACACAGCACTACCTACACACGCAGCACTACCTACACACACAGTACTACCTACACACACAGTACTACCTACACACACAGCACTACCTACACACACAGCACCACCTACACACAGATCACAGTTCGCGACTATACAAAGCCACGAACTCGATGTACGACTATCGAACAGTCTATCTGTAGATATAAACACAATGCGACATTGCTTGAATGTCACTCGCAAAGAACTGATTCTTTGCTTCAAGTCACTATCTGGCTTGCGGAGTCTCACTATCTGGCAGGCCAAATGTGATTGCTAGACAACAGGAGATGCGAGTGTGGCCACCGTATGAATTTCTACCCCAGCCACCCGCTCCGTCTGATGCATTTCCTCATCGTTTTACAGGGCGTGTTATACTATTGGGACGCTACCCACGTTTGTATTTGACACAACTAACACTTGATCCACTCTACCTTACTCTAAACCAAATTGAGGCCTTTTTTCCCAAAACACCAAATTTATGGCATTTTAAGTGGCCAGCCAACTGACACGTACGGACCGTCTTAGTCTATATAGAGTATGCATGTCAATCCACTGCTGGATGAAGGCCTCCAAAATGCGTGCCGTTCTACGGCGGATGGGCGAGGGGGCAAGAGGCTGTTTGACCATACTTCACCACGCTGATCAATGCGAGGTTGTGAACGAATAGATGAACGGAACGGAGAGTTTTAAATTAACCTTATGGCGGGACCCCGGGTTCCCGAATTAACGGAAGTCAAAATCGTAATTCATGTATTTATTTTTGGGGACTCCGTCCCACGGCGCTCATAAACGCCGCGACCCACCAGAAATCAATCCTCTCGTTCTTCACCAAGCAGCCGTCGTTGCCAAAATTTCCGTAGTCATAAACAAAATCTTGAAACTTTGATTAGCGCATCGGGTAGCGCTCGATCGAGAGGAACAGATCGCCGTGTCGTTCGCCTTCAACAGGCATACAATGACGTCGCAACGCAGTTTGTGCGAGAGCCGGGGGCTTATGGGACCTCGGGGTCCCGTCACAAGGTTCAAATCTCAATGGATGATGCGTCAGTAGCGACAAGCGAGTTGTTATTTTTGTTATTATAATCTAAACAATCAACGTACAGGTGCCAGATCACCCTATTCACCTGTAAACGGCCTCATCCTTGGCACAGACTGCAGCACTTACTTCCGTGATGCCCTCCTGTCCGCTGGCGAACTTTGGTAGAACCCATCGCATTTTTCACTTCGTGTACAGACTCGATTCCTATGGCCAGAATTGTGTCGTGATACTGCCGCTGGAAGTGGATGAATACGCACAAATGACAACAACATAAAACGCAAAACACGTGTGGACATGCACGAGCAAAAAATTGTCATTCGTAATGACATTTTGGGTCATTTCGCCACCGTCAGTCGAATGTGCAGAGCGTGGAGGATAGTGTCCGACACACATTGTACTTACGAAATCTGACCCAACAACCAATTGCGAACACACAAAAAACTCTCACAGGTCAATAGCACTGCCCTAGAATATATACATACATGTAAAATTAACGACGTTTCGGGAAATGGGCCTCTTCGTCATCGTGCAGAGACTTGCGGAGCAAAGTTCAGGGCGCGAGATAGAAAGTGGAAAAGAGAGTTTGCTTGCTTAGACAACTGCTGCCGGCTTCATATTGGTCCGGAAAGCCAACAGGACCCAACCGTGGAGAAGGATCCTCAGTGCGCACCCCTGAGTACGTGCCGCGTATCATAGCTGTGAGTTGGCGTCATTCAAATACAACAACAAAAAACCACCATCTTCGTGCCGTAGTATTGCCTTAAAAGGAACTTCCTTGCAGTAGGGTACTGGAGGTACAAGTTTATTTATTTTTTTAAAGAAGGTTGTGTAATATTCCACCCAGTGTGTGTGGTGTGTATGTGTATATATATGTATGTGTGGGGAGCGGGAGTGTAGCGGTTAGCAGCCTGCGCTACTAACCTGGTGAACCGAGTTCGATTCCCGCTCAAGGCCAAAACCAGTGACGATTATCTGAAACCAGGTCTGGACATCCTCTAGATCGACTCAGTCTCAAATGGGTACCTGGTGCGGTGTGCAAAAACATCGTCGCTGGGGAAACAAAGACGGCCGGGGCGTGGTGCTGGTCACCCCACCCCCTCGTGCGCCGTGCCGGCCTTCATAGGTGCTCGCTAACAGCACTTGCCCCTACAGTCTGTTGAGGCTATATGGGGGATCTTTGTAGCCTTCATAGGTGCTCGCTAACAGCACTTGCCTCCAACAGTCTGTTACAGGCGATACGAGGGATCTTTGTCATATCAACGTGAACGTGTCTAACACGAACAAACTTGCATCTTTATTCTACGGCTTCGCTTAAGTGTGCATTCAAAAGGAACGAGCGCAGGAAACGCGACTTGATTGTGGCACCAATGAGCACCGATCGTGGCGGCGCAGCTTTCGTGGCATGCATTCTCCCCTCCGCGACAGAGAGAGAGAGAGAGGCTCTTCCATTAGAAAAAAAATTGGAACATTTTATTTCAGCAACCAACCAACGCCATGTTTCGCAACCGTGGTCATCTCTTGTTTAAAATGACGCGTCGGAGCGAGGGACCCGTACGGCGCACGTACATTCGTCTGCACCGTCGAAATGTCCTCGACTGTTTAGTCTCATTCAACCACTTTCCGAACGAGGTCACCGCAAGCGAAGGTTTCACGCGCCGTGGGGGAGTCCACTCAGAAAAGCTCGTCGCGGCGTCCACTGTGTCGTGTACGTAGTGTGAAGCCCTTTATAATATAAAAACAACACTTCGGGATGAAGGCCTCCCTCAGTGGGTGAAGGAGGCCTTCAATGGGTCATGAGGGTCACTCCACTATACATCACCACACTGATCAGTGCGGGTTGGTCACGTGGTGAGTCCAAGACCGGTTCAAATACCACTCGCCACTGATGTTAGCCGTGGGCCGGGAATCGAACTTGGGTAGCCTCAGGTGTGCAGGACGAAGGTTCAGAGCAGCCTGCATCAAAAAAATACCAACATTGTTGACCAATAATTCGAAAACTATTCATAAACCGTTGCATTTGTTTTTAAATCTTTGAAGAGCAGCCGATTTGACTAACATATTTGAGAACATCGTGGTAACATCCGATGGGTTTGAAAATTAAGTTGACTAACACTCGTGACATTCTTGAAACCCAGTCGTTGTTGCTCTCCGTATTGAAGTGTCGATGTATGCCACCGTTTTCAGTTGCCTCGTTGATCATCGTTGTATTTCCCATCGGTCGGGGGTCACTTAACGCGACTGTCAACTCACGGGAGCTAAACTCCTTCTATAATACCACCACCAACAAGAAGAAGCCAATTTTTCCACGCTACAAACCGAAGCATGGGTCGCTTTGCTGCGAATCCGTGTCTGCTATCGCTGCACATCACAAATAACAAACACCGTAACGCGTGCGTGAATAACACTCCCCCGCCAAAGAGGAAAAACACGTGTACATAGGCAACGTTTCGGTCAACGCCCCTTCTTCATATACATATACATGTATATTTATATAGATATATTTGTATACATCGCTGCTTTATATGAAGGGGGCCGGTTTCCCGAAATTTCTGCTGTTATATATGTTTTCTCTGAACGAAGGCGTTGCGAGCTTGTGCTACTCGTACTCAAATTCACTCGCTACGTTTAAATCTCGTGTCAGCTTTTCCCCAAGATGAGCTGGCAATAGTTGAGACCTGTGGGCCACTCATCGAATGTCTGTCATACGCCTCCTTCACGAATAGAATGGAGGGTTGTGCAGGGCTATGTTAAATAATACTGAAGGAGTATATATTATTATCATCACCATCATTATAAAACAAAAACATTACTCGCCCAATAAATACATCAATAAGCGCCGCTGCTTAAATGAGGGATTCATTAACTGACGGCACAAAAACGGCACAATATATTTAACCCCTTTTGATATTTCAATAAACACATCACATGTATACTTTGTTTGCTAAATGATACGTGTGTGTGTATTCATTTAGGCAACGATTTATTCAGCCTGTGCCTCCACAATCACGGCCGACTGCAATTGCCTTAACATTCGCTGCAGGCTTACAAAATAACGCCTTACAGACTATTTCATGGGGAAAAAAATACATACGTACATGTCTCCACGTAAACATCGCTCGTGCTGTATACGTCAATGCCATGATATGTCCACGTACGTTAAACGCTATTGTCTACAAGAGAAAGTCGATGTCCATACGTATATATGTAAACGCGCACAACTCCGTGTCTATCCAGCGGGGGGCAGTGATGAAGGCTCTCCCCCACGCATCGTGCCGGTTATGGGGTGAGTGGGAGGCGAGGGGAGGTCCCTCAGCCCAGACTCGGGTCGGAAGAAAAGGCCCCGGGACCGGTTCAGATGTCAATCGCCACCCCTGCTAGCCGTGGCCGGGAATCGAACGGGCGTGGTGCGCTAACCACTGCACCACCGCTCCTCCACTCCCCCCCCCCGCCCCCTCCATTATATGTATATTGCATTAACTTGATTTAACTTTCAAGGTAAACGAAATAATGAAGAATGAACGATACGTGGGTTGCTATGCACGTATACAATTGACACCCTCTTGCACACGGGGATGTAAATACATCAAATATGAGAAGCATCCGTTATACCAATCCGACTTTGTTTTACACATTATTTGGTGATTTTGCTGCTGCGTTCGAAGTACTGCACAACAAATACTCTCATTCGGCGTTTCGGGCAATAGTCCTTGTCCATAGTATCATAGACGGTCGCTGCACCACACGCGTTCTGATGCGCTTCTGCGGCCGTCTGGAATGTTCTTCTCTCCGATATTAGGAAGCCACCAGAGCTATGTACTTTTAAATCTCGATTGAAAACTCGTTTTTTTTCGAACTCCTTTTTGTGTTTCGTGTGTTTTCCTTCCCCCGCACCTCCGATTATCAGGGTTGGCTATGTACGATGCAAAAGAAGTTCAACATACATATGTACATTTAATTTCCATAAATTATTGTTTTAAGTGCTATGGAGGACCATTGCCCGAAACGTCGCCTATTATAAAAAAAATGTATTTCAATTACCACAGTGTTATTGACGACTGTGTGTTTTTTTTTACCGATTATGTAGTAAAAAGCGTCGAGGTCTGCTACACGACGGTTATAACCATCACTATAGCCACACAGCTGCCAAACATCTATATGCATTCAGTCCGGGGCATGCTGGTCAACACAAGCTGGGACCGATGCATCGCTTCTCCCCGTCGTGATGCATATTGAAGCGGTAATATCATTCACGTTTCTTTTATAAAGCGTCAACCATGAAAATCGCAACCCTAAACAATGCTGAAGATTGCGAACTACATCACCATCTGCAATGGTACGAGACACCACACAAACACCATACGACCAGCGCGAACATCATAGAGACACAACACGACACAACACGCCACACGGCCACGGGTATGGAGGTGAACACAACAGCGACCGGGTGAGCGTGACCGCTGACAGTCACGCTTACAACATCAGCGAAGGTACAGGGCGCGATGATGCCAGTAACAGTGACAACAGTTTCAACTTCATGCAGCCTCATTCGTGCAGTCGGCTCCAAACGCTGCAGCAGTAAACAAAGACGTGTTCAAGTGTGATTTGAACATTGAAAAGAGAACCGATCTTCATGCCTCTCAACCCCTAATCAGTGCGTTCCTTATTACAGACCAATTCAGAGCGTATTGGTCACCCCGTGCCCCTTATAACTCGCAACGTTCGTCCCACAAAGTCCCGTCACAAGGGAGAAACACAAACAAATAGACACATACATTTTGCCCGTATTGAAACGACTGTATGGACCGAAAAACTTAATTTCCTTGGACAAGAGAATACGGGCAAACCGTATGGGTTGACAGGGATGCGATCTTCATGCCGTAAGGGGCAGTGCACGGATGCAAACGCTGTGCTCCTCTCGTTTATCTGGATCGGAAAAGTGGACTCTGACGAGGAGGGAGGGTGGAATGAAAGCTCAAAACTTGCGCGCAGAAGCATGGCGAAGGTGCATGCTTGGGATTGCACCAAGTGACAGAAGGGAGATCACACGGATCGCACAACACAAGCACGTTCAGAGACAACATAGCAATTGTGCGGACGCGTGGAACGGATCTGATAGAAATGGTGAGGTCTTCATATATGTATAGACACACGGGCTATTATTTCACTGTATCAGACACACACACGCGCGGCGTTCGTAAATCGATTGCAGTCACTGAAAATAATGTATGAAATAGGATATTGAGGAGGTGGAGCGGGTGGCGCAGTGGTTAGCATGCTTCCTCGATGCAGCTTGGACAGAACCGTGCAGTCGAAGTGAGATTGCAGGCCACGACTTAAATCCACGACGAGTGATATCTTAATGCCGTCTTGGGTTGCCCCCCCCCCGCCTCTCTAATATCAACTTGCACTGACCTACGCGGTGAAGTATGGTCAAACAAGCACCACCCGCCCCTCGCCCCAAAAGACCGACACGGTATGGGGAGGCCTTCATCCAGCAGTGGATGTGTGACAAGGGACTGCAAATAACAAATATATTCTCGTATAAAATAACATCGGTAGCTTCGACTAAAACGTATACGTCTACCCTTTATAAAAAGCACAAAAAACCCACCCACACACCCACACACGTGTGATTACACGTCCAACAGAAGGCATGACCGGCTTCTGTTGTTGTTTACCGGTGACGCCACCGTGAGACGTATATACGGTTTGACGTGACGCAGTGCGTACGGCACGTGTGCGGTTTGATAGTGATTAGCAAACACCGCAGGGTTAGCTACTGTATCGCAGGGAGGTGCGCTAAAGGGCGATTTCCACTCCACGTTTGGTGCATGTGCGCGGGAGGTCCGAAGTTTATTTTTTAAATATATATTATTGTTATTACCAGTGGTGGTCAATGCCCTCATTGAAATGTGGTGCCACGATTACATTTCAGGCCATGATTTAAATGCCATCTTTCATTTCACTGTCGGACACGTTCGTGAACGGCAACGAGAGAGAATTGTAAACAAAAAAGAATCACGTTTAAAAAAAAAAAAACATCTCAAATACTGCCCTGAAAGGAAAACACAACAACAGGCGACGTTTCGGGCATTAGCCCTTCTTCATAGCAGATACATTTGGGCAATTGTAGTACCGTTGTGTTTTTGTCTCAGTGGAATATGCCAGAAACATCCTACGGTGATATTTAGCATTACGTTGAACCAATTCTAAAACCTTATGTAAATGATGAAAAAAATCCTCATTCAGAGGAGTGCTAACGGGTATATTTTTTTAAAGACTGGTGGTGTGCATTATACACGCGGTACGGTGATATCTTGTGACACGCAAGGCATGCTGGAAGCATCGAGATTATGATCACAATGGCAGAAATCCCCTCTTGTGCGCGCTCCCACTCGCATTACAATGTCGAGCACGCTGCACCTGCAATCCAGAGGTCGCCGGATCGATCTCCCGTCGTGGTAGTTGAAGCATTCTTTCAAGTTTATCCAACCCCCCCCCCCACACACACACACACACACCGCAACCTCTCACTGTCCACCCAAGAGGATAAACAACTCCACCACGATCAGTCGATCGATCGGTTGCGTGCGGTGGGGTAAAGTGTGGGTACTCCAACTACTGGACGTTTTTTGTGAAAACTGCTGGACATCTGTGACAAAAGCAGATTCATAGCTGATCGGATTCCTCCAAATAAATATTCTGATTCTCATTCCGACTCTCCTCCAAGCCGTCTGACCGGCGTGGAAGAGTAGGCCAAATACCCCCCGATAAAGGAGGGGGGGTGGGGGCTCTTCTCGAGTGAAGGTCTCCCTCCGGCAAGCGGTGGCGCGAGGCAACATCTGCAGGGCCGCCTCCACACGTTCACGTGTAACGCGTTCATGTGGTTCCATGTTCATGTGATTTCATGTTCATGTTGTTAATGTTCGTGTTGTTTGATGTTCATGTGGTTCCATGTTCATGTTGTTGATGTTCATGTTGTTTGATGTTCATGTGGTTCCATGTTCATGTTGTTTGATGTTCATGTGGTTCAATGTTCATGTTGTTTGATGTTCATGTTGTTTGATGTTCATGTGGTTCAATGTTCATGTTGTTGATGTTCATGTGGTTCAATGTTAATGTTGTTTGATGTTCGTGTTGTTTGATGTTCATGTGATTCCATGTTCATGTTGTTCGATGTTCGTGTTGTTTGATGTTCATGTGGTTCAATGTTCATGTTGTTTGATGTTCGTGTTGTTTGATGTTCATGTGATTCCGTGTTCATGTTGTTGATGTTCATGTTGTTGATGTTCATGTGGTTCCATGTTAATGTTGTTTGATGTTCGTGTTGTTTGATGTTCATGTGATTCCATGTTCATGTTGTTGATGTTTATGTGTTTCGATGTTCATGTGGTTCAATGTTCATGTTGTTTGATGTTCGTGTTGTTAGATGTTCGTGTTGTTTGATGTTCATGTGGTTCGATGTTCATTGTTGTTCGATGTTCATGTTGTTTGATGTTCATGTGGTTCAATGTTCAAGTTGTTTGATGTTTGTGTTGTTTGATATTCATGTGGTTCCATGTTCATTGTTGTTCGATGTTGTTGTTATTCGATGTTCAAGTCGCGGCGCTGAAACTGCTGCGCGCACTGCCACCGCCACCGCCAAGTCCCCGGCGTGGAGTATTCGGAGCCGGCGGCGCGTGCGACCTACAGGATCACAAGCGTGAAACACAAGCGGAGAGGATGTATAGCACACAACAGGTTTATTCACGTGCATGATCGTTGGCAAGTTCAGTGGGGTCGTTTTTTTTTTTCTAAGAAGCCGATTCATTTCGGTAATGAATGAATGAATGCGTCTTCAGAGCGGCACGTGATCAATTTCAGTTCCCCACGGCGTTGATTCAGAGGCGTGGAACGCATTGTTCACCTCTGCGATTCGATTCATGGTCGTAGAAGGTCAGTCGCCCGAAACGTCACCGATTGTATGTTACATTTTACTTGCTCGAGGGCAATGCTATTGACCAATGTGTTTCGTTATACGCGCTTGTGCACCGCTCGTCAAGGCAGTGTCAGCGAATTGTTTCGTCCAATTAATCATTGCGATTCTGGTTCACGATTGAGTAATCGATGGGGTTTTCACGTTCATTCTTGCGGTGCGTGTATGACAACACCTTTAAAGGCCACATAATTCACGTGAACCAATCAAATACAAGTGTGAAATCGTACAGCAATCTATACATACAGGCACTCGCAATGCGTGCAGCTTAAGATTTTACTTGAATAGATGAATCGATGCATTGTTACATGCGTGATTTATGTACAAGCATTCAAAAAGGACCTCCCACCCTAAGATGATGATGGATTGGGAAGCCCTTCATCCAGCAGTGGATTGATCATAGCTGATGATGATGATGATGATTAAAGTATATATTTACGCGCAATAGAGTGCCTCTCAAAATTATAGTTTGTTCTTTCCAAGGATATGCCTCGCTTGGTTTCACTGCTGTTAAACAAACAATGCGAGATGAATAGCAATGCCTCAATACTCACTGGATGCTCAACGGAGTTAAATAAAAAAAAAGCACCGCAGTCGATCGGGAGAGTCGTGGTGTCGAGGCGGGGATCCCGGGCTGCCTGTAGCAATAAGGAATCGCATTCTCAGCTGCTGCTTTCTGCAACCAAAAGTATCACATCGAGAGGGGGGAATGCCATCCCCGGCAAATTGAAATTTCACTTTTCCAAGCGCAAGTCTGAGTTGAACCCTACGTAGTCCACACACCTTTAAAACCACGACACACACGTAACCTCGACATATTTCATCACGCCAGATAAAACGCCTGTGTTGCATGTTCTTCTGTCCGTGCTAACACATAACAATTCAGCTACAGCACCTAGTTCTATAGACACGTTTGACGAAGACGTACCCATGTTGAACTTCTTTCGCCACCGAACGTAGCCAACCGCGCTAATCGGAGGTGGGGGAAACCCCCGTGTGGCCTTCACAGACTGGTGGGGCAAGTGTCGTTAGCAAGCACCGAAGAAGACCGGCACGGCACACGAGGGGGTGGGTGGCCAGCACCATTGTTGACAACTCACACGGACACCACAAGTATTCCACGTGCCATCCTGCGCGATTAAGCACGGTATAACCGCGATACGGTATGCAACCATGATAGAGGGTTTTTTTGGAGGGGGGGTTAGATCGCGTAAATATGTAAATGTGTCGTTGAAACCCGCCACCACCCGACACAGCCAACTAGTAAGGGTTGTCACGTTCATTATATATAAGGAATATATATAAGGAACGAAACAGGTGGACTTCTCCACAAACCTGGCTGTCGCCTGATGAAGCTAGTTGTAATTACTGGCGAAACGTCGTACTCCAACACACCGGTGTGCTGTACTAGTATACTACACTATACACTACACTATACACTACTATACACAATACACTACACTACTATACACTACTATACACTACACTATACACTACACCGGTGTGCTGTACTAGTGACGAATTGGCCACGTTCTGATTACGTGACAACCCTTACTAGTTGGCTGTGTCGGGTGGTGGCGGGTTTCAACGACACATTTATATATTTAAGCGATCTAACCCCCGCAAAAAAACTACTTCTATTATGGACGATATTTGGTCGTGAAAGCCTGCCACGTGTTAAACTGCATGCGACCAATTCGGCCTCCGTGTCACGCTCGGGTCAGGTCAAGTCCTTAAAAAGGCTCCCGACGCCGCACCAGGCTGCGCCACGCGGTTTATTTTCAGACTCTCAGTCGGGATTTAAAGGTTGTCAGAGAGCGCGGGGTAACCCCCCCACCCCCACCCCGGGTATCTTGTAGCCACGGCGGTGGAGCCCCGAGTCCCTGACGCCCCGATGCCCAGAGCCGTAGATAGACACTCGTAGATAGACACTCCTAGATAGATACTGGTAGATAGACACTCGTAGATAGACACTCGTAGATAGACACTCGTAGAGAGACACTCGTAGAGAGACACTCATAGAGAAACACTCGTAGATAGACACTCGTAGAGAGACACTCGTAGATAGACACTGGTAGATAGACACTCGTAGAGAGACACTCGTAGAGAGACACTCGTAGAGAGACACTGGTAGATGGACACTCGGCTTGCTTCGTTTACAACAATTGCGTTAACAGTCCCTCCCTCCTCCTCTACCTTGCCCGCCCCTCATTAGCACACCCCAAAGACAAATTTCACCCCGTGTAGCCTCGACAGAATGTTGAGGCAAGTGCTGTTAGCGAGCACCAATGAGGGCCGGCAAGGCACACGAGTGGGGTGGGTGGCCAGCACCAGTGGCGACAATTACACATCGCAGCAAGTGCTCGAGGCTGAGTTGACCTAGGGGAGGCCCAGGACCAATTCAGATACTCGTCGCTGATGTTGACCGTGAGCGGGAATCGAACTCGGGTCGCGGGTTTGCCTACGCAGCGCGCTAACCACTGCACCACCGCTCCTCAGCACCCCCACCCCCCCTCCATCTCACATCCATACCTCTTCTTCTTGATTCTTTCGGTAAAGTCACGTAGAATGAAAATAATAGATCACGACGTTCGGATCGCAACACAAGCAACCGTCATCAGGTGAGATCAACACAGCCGGCCACAATGCTTGCAAGCATTGTGGCCGAAACGTCGTGAGAATTATTTTATTATGTTTTATTTTTATTTGTATTTTTTTTTTATTTCCATTCTACGTGACTTTACCGAAAGAACCAAGAAGATGAATCCCTGCTGTCACGAAAGCTTTAAATCGAAATCCATACCTCTGTAAGGGTGCCCGAGGCGCCCGCTGCAACCGCCGTTTCCTACCCACGGTACCGCCGATGCCACCACTCTGCATGGCCACATCGAGCAGCAATGAGCGGGGTATGTCAATGATGCTGTGCGCGTTGCAGTGTGGCGGTCCTCCCGCCTCTTCTTGTCGTTGCTGTAACCCATTGCCCTGACAGCTTGCTGTTGACATCGTTGGTAATTCCGCAGCTGCTGTTGTTGGGAATGTCACCCGGCTAGTAAGTATACTTGTGAGTACACTTTTAAAAAATGTGCCACATTCGTCGCACGTGCGGATTTGTAATTAGAAAAGAATACACACACAGCAGCCCGTTGTCATTCCACTGCTGGATGAAGGCATCATCCACGCCGTGTCGGTCATGGTGGTGGTTTGACCATACATCACCACGCTGGTCAAGTGTGATTTGGTGAGTTGGAGCGCGGGCGGCAACCAGTTCACATATCACTCGCAACCAAAGCCGTCCCTAGGATGCGGCGAATCGGGGCGACCGTCCCGGGCCCCGAACTTTGGGGAGTGGGGGAGGGGAGACCACGCTTCGACGTCACGGTGTCAGATGTAACACTTGAGGTTTAGTTGGAAGGCGTCGGGGGAAGTCCACACGGAGGGATTTTCCCGGGGCCCCACACCCACCTATGGACGGTCCTGTCGCAACAGTTTTAATTTTATTAAATCAGAATTAAAATATTGATTTTAGACTGGAAAAATCCGATGAGCTATGAAGCCCCTTATCACAGATGTCCAGCGTGGAAGGGTCGGGAATCGAACTTAGGTGGCCCCGGTTCAAATCGCAGTGCGCTCAACATTGCGCCACTGTGACCCGCGGACAGATTTTCAGAGGTGACATTTGGCCAGCCGGTTTAAATAGAACAGAGGGAAGGGCTCGCGCACTGCCACTCTCAGGGCGAGCGAGGAGGATCCGGGCAACATGACGATGTTTGGCCAACGAGTCTTTTGAATTTGGAATTGAAAAATAGAACCTCTCGTCTCAGAGGCCTGTAATGCACCGTAGATATATATATACACACAGACACACACCTGACTGTGTTGAGGTCCACGTGTTGTGTCAAGGGTGGAGCGGTGGCGTTGTGGTTGGCCAGACCGCGCTAAACCACACGGACGTCCCAAAGTAATGAAGCTGCACCGGTGATGGGCCACCTCGCCAAACCACTCCCCCCCCCCCAACACCGACCCTTAACTGTAACCTCTCATTGGCCAACGTGGTGAAGTATGGGAATGATTAACATGGCGTGGGGATGCTTTCGTCCCAACAGAAGTGGGATTTACAGAGGCGCTGTAGAGTAATGACTTAGCACGGTAATAGCGATGGCAGAATAGGCCGCGCGACACAAACAAAGACAAAGATCCCCCGTATAGCCTTAACAGACTGTAGGGGCAAGTGCTGTTAGCGAGCACCTATAAAGGCCGGAACGGCACACGAGGGGGTGGGTGGCCAGCACCACGCCCGACCGCCTTTGTCTCCGCAGTGGCGATGTTTGCACACCGCACCAGGTACTCATTTAAGGCTGAGTCGACCTAGGGGAGGCCCAGGACCGGTTCAGATAATCGTCACTGGTGTTGGCCGTGAGCGGGAATCGAACCCGTGTCTCTGGGTTCATAGCGCAGCGCGCTAACCGCTACACTACCGCTCTCCGCGCGACACACACACAAACACACGCGTACGGGCGCGCGCGAACGAGCGAATGCGTACAAATAGTAAAGCTAGGGAGAGTGGTGCGGTCCGGGGTTAGGTTTGCTCGGTCATCACGCAGGGCCGTCACGTGTCCCGCGTTCATGTTAGCTCCGTAACTCAATACATCTTCGATTCCACTAACTTGACTCCAGGCGCACCGCCCCCCGCCCCCCACCGATCCTCCCTTCTACTCGTCGCCCTCTCCTCGCTTAAGGCGCGGCTCCGGCTGGAGCACGCATACCACACGCACGTTGGTGATGTGCACGTCTTCTTCGAACGTTGGGGAGCCGGAAAAGCCCTCTGCACCAGCGTGGACGGCACCCTCGTGTTCACCTTCTGAAAGCGCTCGCTCGTCACCGTGGCGTGCGCGATGACCACCACAACCACCACGTGACTTTTCTTTTGTGTTGTGCGCGGTGCTTTCAGCGCCACAGCGCGTCGATTTGTAACGTTCGTTTTCTTTTGTTTGCTGGTGACTGTATTTCATATTGAAATCGCCACCAGTGCTTTTTCTGCTGGCGGCAATAAAAGTTGTTTAAAAGTCAAAGTCTCCTCGCTGTCTGTCTCTCCCCGAGCTATCGCCTGGCTCGCAACCGTTTAATAGCAACACGCGCTCTGCCCGAGCATTTGCGATGCGTAATAACCTGGGTGCATTGCGAGCGACACGAATGTCTGGCTATTCGACTCGCAATGGTAATCGCTGGCCTACTTTGAAACAGCATGGGCAACAACGCCACAACATTTCCACAACATCAACAACGTTTCCAGGAACATTGACACATCCAAAGTCCGGTTGCATTGGTCACGGTTTAAATGCGGAATTCGCCACACACTCCTGTACGTGACATTAACATTGAGACATTGTGATATCCAAAACTATCTATATCATTACATGTGTTTGCAGTGCCCAAGGTTTCGTTTAGACTTTAGACAGTCGTGTGTGTGTGTCTGTCTGTCTGTGTGTGCAGGAGGTAAGGATAGATGCAATTGTTGACCTGGCAGTGAGATGGCGACAAAGGCTCTCATCCAGCAGTGGATAGATGATGCTTATATTTTTACTCGTGTTACCCGTTTAGTTTTTTTTTAAGTGCGTAGCGCGAGGCACCAAGCAACGCAGCTCTGTGTTGGCTGGCCCTGTTTCTTGAATAAAACCGATCAACCCCCGGACCCCTAACCAGGGGCGCTCACATTTCACTGGAGCCCGTTTGTGAGTCAGATTCCTGCGCTTACAAAACAACCTTCGAGTGGACGCCACTCAGTCGCGGTCGTGTATACAGTAGAGTAATATAACATTTATCACATCTTTGGTCAGCAAGGCGTAACTATGCCAGCCATACATAATGCGTCCCGCGTACTTTGATTGACGTCCACAACCTCTTTAAACTCACTGCTGCATGGAGGCTGTATGTATCCGGTGATTGAGGTTGTCTGACCATACTTCACCACGCAGACATCACTCGCTGCTGATGACATCCGTGGCTGGCCGTGGCCCGGCATAGTACTGGAGTCGTCGAGTTTCCGCCACAGTGCGCCAACCACCGCTCCACCCCTGAATCTCTGCATGCTCCCGTGTGAAATGCACCATGCACGTCTTAATTCGCGTCTGACAATAATCGAAGCGCCGAGAGCAGAGGTGGGGTGCGGAGGGTGAATGGTCATACCTCCCAGATTTACGGCACGAGCCTATAGCGTCGAAACAGAGAGACGTTTCGATTTCAAGCTTTCGTGACTGCAGGGATTCATCTTCTTGGTTCTTTCGGTAAAGTCACGTAGAAGGGAAGTAATAAAATAATAAAAACAAAACGTAATAAAATAATATAATTCTCACGACGTTTCGGCCACAACGCTGTCGTGAGAATTATATTATTTTATTACGTTTTGTTTTTATTATTTTATTACTTCCCTTCTACGTGACTTTACCGAAAGAACCAAGAAGAGAGACGTTTACACAGCAGTCCGGTCGAGTGTAAATTAGCGCGCGTCAATCGGCTCGCGTTCACGTCCGACAGCGCCCACCGGCCTCGTTATAAACAGGGCCGGGCGCTCAGAGCCACAATGCCGCCGCGTTTGCGAACGCGCATTTTAGCCAAAAAGGTACAGGGCGGATGTCGGGAAACGGTGAACCTTTAATTTGGGTCCCTGCGTACGTTGATTCGATCTTGCGAAGCGGAACGGTTGCTGTTAAAGGGCGTACGCAAAAAGTCGGAAAGCACTCTAATTAATAATTGTACCACTTTGTCAATCCACTGCTGGATGAAGCCCCTGTGGGGGGTTGGGGGGGGAGGTGGGGGGTTCTTTGACCTTACTTCACCACACATGGTCAGTGCGAGTTGGAGAAAGCCGAATCCAGGTCCGGTTCGCCACTGATAATTGCCGTGGTCGGGAATCCAACTCACATCTTGGCGTTCACGACAGCGCAGAGAATGGACCACTGCGTTGCCGCCCGTGCCACCCAATCACGACACAGTGCTGATACGGGCGATAAATGCGAGTTCTATAGAAGTTTTAAAGTCACAAATTCAATCACTCACGCCAACAACTATCACTCTTAAATATGTATTTAGATACACATTCATATGCTTCTTTAACAACAACAGAAAACTGGTTATCAGAAACATTGTTCAAATGTAATTATCATCAGGCCCCCCATGGCATTAAGTGCAAACTCGAACCTGTATTGTCCAATATGTCTTTCTGGCCTCTCTGTGTATGTGCTATGAAGAAAGCCCATCGCCCGAAACGTTAAGGTGAGCATCTGGCCCATTGTGTATGAACGAACGCGCTGAGAAGCCAGGCAAGGCACGCGGGTTTGGGAACGCGCCAAACGGTGGCCGGGTTGGTTCAGGGGTCAGATACTCTGAGCTAGGCGCCGGCTCAAAGCACTTGGGGTTAGATTCTGGTTTTCATTCACCCGTGATTAAATGGACTTCCCAAGTGTCTCAACTCGGTCACCAATGTTCGCACACACACGCGCGCACACACACACCGACCACGATTCCTCGTGTAGCCTTGCACAGACTGTTGGGGCAAGTGATGTTAATGTAACTTAACTATCTTAACTTAACTATTTTTTTTATTTTACCAGGTAAGGTCCACTGAGCTGTATAGCTTTTTTTTTCAGGAACGACCTGGTCACAAAGGATAGCTCAACGAAGTGGCTTTTCGTCATGTGGAAATTTATAGGCGCCAAATACTCTAAATCCACGTTGATTGTAATTGTGCAGGGAAAACGCGGATGACCCGGAGAAAAATCCAAGCGTCCACGGGTAGAACAGGCAAACTTCAAATAAAGCGGCATCTATGAAGGCCGGAATGGGTGGCCAGCATCACGCGCGGGCACGCCTTTGTTTCCCCAGTGCTGATGT